GAGAGAGAGAGACTGTGAGATGAATGGGAAATTGAAAATAATTGTTTGTAGGAAAACAACGAACGAACAGCGATCGAGAACCATTTTCAATGGAATAAAATCTTGAAGGTGCGCGATGAGCGCACGCGCACATACGCTCATTCGTATCAGCCACATTGAATGATCTCTCTCTCTCTCTCACTCTCTCTCTCTCTCTCTCTCTCTCTCTCTCTCTCTCTCGCTTGCTACAAAGGAACGAACGGAACGGAATATGTGAAATAAAATCGAATGAAGCGAAAATAAATTAAAAGCTTAAAAAGTTACAGGGAATAAAACGAAGATAAACCATAACTTAGTTTATTGAATGAATAATTTTGATCACGATCGATTCGATTGGGCTGGTGTCTGTGTGTCTGTGTGTCTGTGTGTTTGTATGGATATACAAAAGGTGTTTTGATGTAATTTTGTCGGATTGTTGGGATGATGCGCGATTGCCGCAAATGAAAACCCATGAGAAAATCAATATAACAGGTATAAGCCCGGCTGGCAAGAGAGTCAGAATGAGATTGTTCTTTGCCGCATCATGAGTCGAGACGATGCTTTTTCGGGTAATTCTCAATCGCACTTTTATTTATTTGATATCATTGAACGGTGTGTCGGGTAGCGAGAGCTGCGCAGCAATTGGTAATAAGTATCTCTGTATTCGATAAATATATCGTATTCGCACCCGAACTGCATTTTTTCCCGTTTACGCCACACTCCGTTCCAAAAGACATTGTAATATGTGTGTATGTTGGCTTTGATGGCTACGGAGATATGCTGCTTAACACATTGACCACCTAATGGTTATATCTTTTTCTTAATCATATATGGCCGGTGGGCGCATTAACACCTCATTCTTTTCCGTCTCTTTGATCCGTTTCAGCGCGTTACAAATTTACAAGAGAATCATGGATTCATTGTGGCCACCGTATTTTTTTTTCTTCTTCTGCCTCCTCTCCTTCACCATCCTCGTGTAGGTTCATTCATTTTCTGCGCGTTCCTGTACGTACAATCTCAGGGCATGTATTTATGACAAAATAAATTAATTTCTTCATTTCATTTCGGATCTTTTTTTTTCTCGCTCTGAATGTGAAACGTTGTTTTTCTTGGCCCGAACACGGTGCACGTAAGTAGTTGTGTGGCGATAAGTGTTTTTGGAGTTTTCGGTTTGTGTGATGTCTCTTGTTCTGGTGAGGTGTTGCCGAAGCGCGCAGATAGAGACAGACGCTCAACGAAAGAGAAAGAGAGAGAGAGAGTTGGACAAGTAAAGCCAAGAGCCAAAATGAACTTACTTAAAATGTCATTTTTCTCCCAGTATACGAGCTCCATTCCAGGTGGCGGCGAATGTGAGTAGTCACAGAGGCATTGACCTTTTTTTTCACTCGCTCTCCTCATAACCGTGCTTCAAATAAGAGGCTGATTAATTGACTTTTTATTTGTCTAAGTAACATGTTAATTATATCACGCACCTCCGAAAAATTCGACGAAACAACCAACGATGGATGGCCAATACATTGTTATTATTGAACCGACCATTTGTTTTTCTCTCGAATATAATACGAATACACGGAAATGCGTGCGAGTCTATGACATTTTCACACAATAGACAAATGGACCGTGTATTATTATTATTTGGAAAATCGACTTGTCTTTTCATATCTCAATAAATACCGAACAAAAAGAGATATTTGTTTAAAAAGTAAATCATTTGAATTTCCATTGGATTCATCACCATTTCATATTTATTTATTTATTCAACGGTGTGCCGTGGACAACGATGCGATGTATGATGTGTGATGCTATGTGAATTGACTGTGACACATGTACGCCATGTAGCAATTAAACGATTTCACTCTTTCATTTGCATTGTACGCATATCAGAGATAATCAAAAGACACAATAATAACAAAGGATTACCGCGAACGACGACAACAGCAACGCAAAAAAATGAGAAGACAGAGTTCCACATACAAAACACATAAATAAATGGTTTAGAATAGCCTGATTTTCTTCGTACAAACCATATAAATAAATAAGTATATTTCGAAGCGAACCATAGATCTGAATATCAAATGAGTCGTATTCATTGCATTTATCATACACACATACACATACAAGCAGCTTCACACAAGTCTTTGCCCTCTTCATATTCTTCACAGAGAGAACTCTTTTCATACAGAAATAAATAGCAATAATTGATTCTGAGTGCGATACGAAGAAGAAGAAAAAAAATCTATTAAATCTAGAATAAATGTAAACCTACTTAGTAAATAAAAGGTGATTTGTCGCCCGGTATTTATGTGTGCGCGACAAAAGAACAACTGAAAAAAAAATTGTATAAAAGCCACGAGACAACAACACAGAAAAAGAAAAGAAAAAGAATAAACTGAGCAGCAAATAATAGGAACAGATTGAATAGGAAAAGCAAAATGATTTTTACCACTTTGTCACACAAACATTACTGATTGTGTGTTTTGCTTTTGGTCGCACGGGACGTTTTCTTTCTTCAACAAACGTCCATATGGAAATGTATGCGCTTCTTTGGTAGATGGTTTTAATAAATCTGAAAAATATCATAATAGAAAAAAACCCATCGGAATGACTGCAATGACTTCCATTGAACGAGAGAAAATATTATGATGGAAAAAAAAGGGGGAATCAAAGTCATTTACTCATTAAATGCGATCCGGTCAATGTAACATCAGACGATGTACCAAGTAATTGGTCCATCATCACACCGGTTGTCGTTGTGGCTTCGTGCTTCTCATCATCATTTGTTGCTTTTTTTTTATATCGATCCATCCAATCCATTGGCACTGTCCTGATGATCGCCATGCCACATTTATTATAAACATCTAATTCCAATGACAAGTGGATATCGCGTCAACAACAGAAGCAATATCACCGGTTATTGTGTGACTTAAAAAACACAACACAACACAAACGGTGCAATGACATTATGACAGCCGCACAATGAATGCAAACCAAGCCAAGAATCCAGCTTTTTGAGCGACAATCGGTGGAATGCAATTCAAAATGCCTGGTGCGATTACAAAAAACTATGTTCTCGGAAAAATGCGCCCATTTCAATAGAGCAAATGAAATCGACAACAGTTTGAGTGAATCAACAATTCGATACACCGATTGAGTTCGTGGAGCTCCAGTTTGATATAAAAAAAAAAGAGTCGCATTTAAATGAGTTGTCAAAATTCGTTTGATTCAATTTCGGCACAATTCATCATCATACGATTTGATTTGAGCCTATCTAAAGTTAGCATTTTTGCTTTTGGCTTGCACATTCGATGTGTTATGCATGTGTGATTGTGGATGCTTGGGCTAGCTATGTTTTTCTTTCGTACATTTTTTTCCTGCCTTTTTTCTGCTGAATGAGTTTTCAAGAAGCAACAACACACACACTGACATAAAATGCGAACGGAAATCCAACATTAAGACGAAGCGAGAATTAAAACTCAGATTTTGTGTGTGTGTGTGTGAGAGAGAGAGAGAGGAAAAGAGTAAAATGAAGAAGAAATATCACTCAGAATTGACTAAACTGTTGCGATCGAAGAAAATGTACACATTTTAGGCCTTTCCGTCAGCTCAGCTGTCTAACTTAATCGGCCGATATTGTTTTTTTTCCATCCTCATTCGTCATTTCGTCAACATTTCACAAGCCTCGGGGCATCGAATGTTCGATTGAATGAATGAAAAAAAGAGGAATATTCGCGTATTTTATTATTTCAAGACTAATGGCACATTTGCTCATGTGCTCATTCAATCGAAATAATTAATGAATGAAAACTGACACATCCTTTTCCATTATTTTTCAATTCAGCCATAGGATTTGTCTTTTTTCGTTCGTCGGTCGTTGTGTGTGCGTGCGTGTATTTGATTTGTTTTCGCCTAGCATGATGAAAATTCTGCGAATTTTCAGCGAATCAGAGGCGCGCATGCGAATGCACAAATGAAGGTCATCGAGGGAAGTTATTCGAGTTTACGCTTTAAGAAAACAATTGAAAAAAAAAAAAATTAATAACATTTTACAATTTTAATAACACTGTGTGTGTGTGTGTGTGTGTGTGTGTGTACAGTACATATATCGAGTACTCGTGGATACACTTTCCTCTCTTTCTTATTGTGCGGTATTGTGTATCCGTTCGCCGCATTTCTTTATTCGCCTTCAAATTGTTGCTATTACTTTTAATGTTATTAGTTATACCTACAATAAGCGAATTATTGCAATAAAAGCAACAACAACAGTGTACAACATCGATATTAATATGAAAATCGAGTGCCTAGAGTGAGGAACAACAATGAAGCAGCAGCAGTGGCAACAACAACAACAGCGGCGAAACAAAAAAAAACAACACACAAATTGCGACGATAAAGCTCCACCTCTTTTAGAGGCGTCACCTTCTATAAAAGCAACCTTATCATTTTTATCCCCGTTTATAATATCGTTTTATGATTTTATTTACTTTGTATATAAAATTGGAATGTATAAAAGCGCTTGGAACGCCGTGTTTCAATTGCTTCGTATGTACGCTGTCTTCTCGGTGTAGTCGCGCACGCAGTGTGCGCGCGATTCAACTACATGTGCATAAAATGGGCAAAGAGCACGGCATACACACAGCGAGAAGAGAGAGAGAGCACCATGAAAATATACAAAACCAAAAAAAAAAAAAAAACGAAATGGAAATAATGCCAAAGTGTGAGCTTCAATGCGCGCTGGTGGAATCAACGCGTTGTTCAACCAGCCAAAAACCGACAAAAATGTGTGTTGTGTGAACCAAATCGAGTACGAAAAGAAAAGAAACAATAATAATCATCATCATAATAAATTTTCGAACAAGCGCACATCGTCAAATGTGAAAACATAACAACGATGACGCCGACACCGAAACCGAGACCGACACACAAACACACACAAACACACCGTCTTCGTTTCGTTCGAATCGAGAGACAGAGCAAAGGAGAGTATGCGAGGGAAAGAGGGAGGCCGGGCGAGTGTGTGTACGTTCGGCCGAAGCCGAAAACAGATTTTCTGTACAAGCAAAGAAGCAGCAGCAGCAGCAGCAGCAGCAACAACAACATTCAATCAATACGTAATCGCAATTAATTTGATCCAAAGTGCTTTGGCTTGGGATTTTTCACCCATGTATCCAATGGACGTGTCTATGTGTTTGGTGCTGTGTACATCATTTTCGCTGTTTTGCCGTTCGATGCGCCTCGATTCCGAATGAGCTATGCTTTGCAGCCGCTCGACACGAACATTTGCATCTTTAACCCAAACCAATACACGGTCAGATATAGTTGCGCGGCGTAGTTGCTGTGTACAGGTATGCATAATAAATAGACTCAATCGTTGGAACGAAGAAAACTATAGCGATTCTGAGGTAGCACGATGTGATGTTCATCGAAACGCAGAGAGAAAAGAGAGACGTCGCTGTCGTTGTCGTTGTCGTTGATCTGTGCAAGTGTATGATTGGTGTTCGGGTCTCGGGTACGTGCGTGTTGGTGTCGGTGTATGTGTGTAAAACACACCAAATCCGGAACGAACAAACAGCAAATCGTCCAACAAAACAGTTGCGAGCGCAAACACACCGACGAACGATGAGAATTGCTGTGTGTTTCGGGTGCTATTGAGAAAAGGGTCCGAACGAGCGACAGAGAGAGAGAGAGAGAGAGAGAGAGAGAGAGAGAGAGAGAGAGAGAGCGTGCGCACGTTTTCAATTTACACTACTACGAACGACGACACAACAGCACACACCGAGCTAACGATTCTGATCGTAAAAGAGGATATGCTCGCACATTCGAAGCGCATGTACAAACGAATCATTGGAACTGAGCGACGAACGTGTATTGGTGCGTACACATACAAGTCAACACAAACGGTGTGAGAGAAGAAACGAATGAGCGAACGAAAAAAAAGCAACAAAAACTAAGCAATCACAATTCTTCGGTTTGGAAAAGATTCTTCACTCAAACCGACATCATTCGCAGTCCAAACGTGCTGTAGTTATATCCACCCGATGTTTTAGTGTTGTTTCAATTTTTTTTGCGGCAAATTTCTTTTCCGTTCACGAGCTCATCTGTCGCCTGAAGTGGTAAAAGTGATCAACAGAGAAATAAATTAAATCAAATTTTTAAGTAAAAAAAAAGCGAGCAAATGAAAAATCATCATCGACGAGAGTGAAAAAAAAAAACAAATTTGCAGTGAAAATTGATTAGTTCCAATCGACAAAAACGAAATTGTTCCAATCGTGTTTGAGAGAAGGAAAAAAAAACAGAACAGTGCAAAAGACTCAAAACTGCGACACGATAATTCATTTGATAAATCATAATCGACTTTTATCGACAGAAGAAAAAACAACCGAATAACGGCAGAAAAAAAAACTCAACACGAATAGTTCATAGATGACATGACGAATCGCATCGCAGCAATTAAATCCGAGTTATTACGGTGATTTTGAAAACGATTTTTACATTGCCGCGACCGAAACACATGCGAATGGATAATTTCTCAAGAGATCCAATTATACAAACGCAAGCAAATGACATAAAATTCCAGCTCTAAGATTTATCAGTATTTAACCAAATGACTAAACAAATTTGATGTGAACATTTTAAGTGTGCAAAAAGAGAAAGAAATAATAATCGAGCGAGAATAAACGAGTGTCTAGAGACGGTTTATTGCCATTGTTATAAAGTTTTTGAATCGAAATCAGCGAGCGCAAAGAACAAAAATCACTTCTTGTCAAAACATTTAAGTGAAGGGAAAAAAACCGAAATCAAAAAGGCGGAACTAACTGGAATGCGCAAAAAGAACACAATTTAAGCAAAAAAGTGCGGAAGAGACATTGTTGTAGTGATGAAAAGTGTCCGAAATTCGAGTGGCATCGACAAACGCTAAGCATTCGCAAGGTAACTGTTATTTTCTCTATTTGATGAGAAGAAGCACAGCCGATCGATTCCGAAAGAGGCAAATTCGCTGTGTGTTCTTGTTCTATCAATTCATAGGCTATAATCATTTCATTTTTGCGCGCGCGACTGATAAAAAAAAAAACAAGCGAAGAACCATCATTTCATGCAGCATCATTTTTCATCCGAATTTTTGGTTGTTGTTATTGTTCTTGTTGCCTGAGCACTTATTTGATTGAATGCGATTAAGCGATAAAAATGAACCGTTAGTTGGAGTTTTCGAATTGTAGCCTATTTTTTTCATCTTTTTTGGCATCCAAATCAAAAATGTTTAAAAATCACAAAATCATTTTCATTCTTTCGATTTCAGATACGTTTTGAATAGTTGCAAAAAAAAAAGAAAATCAAAATTTCACAAGTGCAAAAAGAAACAACAACAATAAAACAAACAGTAAAAGCAATCGCATAATCGAACAGTGTAATTGCATCGCGAGAAATCACAAATAAGTCAAAATCGAATAGGTGTAATCGAAACAGAATCAGAAGCACATTATTTTTGATTGCTCTGTGGTGTTTTTGTCATTGTTTGTAATTATTTTTTATTGCGTTCTATTTCTATCGAAAATATTCATTGCACCCCACATCGCACCATACGCACACATACATTACAAACGCGCGCGCAATCTTTTCTAACGGGAAGCAATAAATAGTCGCCAAAATTCGCGTAAAAAATCGTGAACCAATTCCGATCTTCAGTGAAATGGACGAAAGGCGAATCGACAGAGATTCCGATTTAGGCGACGATTCACCAATGGTAAGTTTTCACATCATTCCCTCCACAACAGACAAACAATCACAACTGAACTAGGCAAGAAAAGACAAGAAAATTTCACAGCATTTTATTGAACATTCGTTGATCGAAGCAAAAAATGTATTGAATTGAAATAAAAAAACTAGAAATGAAGAAAATGAGAGCCTAGAAACGCTGATCAATAGAAAAAAAAGAGAATCGAACCACTAATCATTCGAATGCATGTGCTATAAAATGGTTGAAAGTATGCGAAGACAGCGAATAACTGCGCTTCAAATGTGCCAACAACATCGATATCGATATGGTTGATTGATTTTCATACACAATGCCATTTATGTAGGTCTTCAAGTGATCTAGAAACCGTCATCATTTTCGCGCGCGCCATAACTCGTGTACCTGTATGCAAGTTTCGCACATACACCATGACATGTCCGAAGCAATGGCAACAACAGCTACAGCAAAATATAACTGTCATGACGAACGAAACGAACCTCGATTGCAATAATAATCGCTCGAAGAAAACCTCATGCATTCGCAACAAAGGTTGCTGCTTATTAATCGTTGATTAACCCGTATGTCGGTGAATTTAGCTAATAAATTTCATGTTTAGTTTCATGTTCTTCACTTCTCTCTTTGTGTGCATATTTTAAACTTTTAATCACTTTTCTCGACAAAACGACAAATACCGATAAGTCTCAATTCAATGTGGTTAATTTACAAAACCAAAATAAATCCAATTCAAAGTCGATTTGATTGTCATCTCAAACATTATGACATCCCGTCATCTTTTTTTCCCGCTTTATTTGCTCTCTCTCTCTCTCTCTCTCTCTCTCTCTCTCTCTCTGTCATACTGGTGTTTGAGCTGCAAATTAAAGTCGGCCAGCTATTCAACATTTCCTACGCGTGCACACACAGACCGAGAAAGAGAGGGAGAGAGTGAATGTTCAATTTTTGCTGAATCAGACCGAAATATTCGAAATCGCCTAACGATACACTCATAATCCAATGCATACTTAAATGCGATGTGAATTCCATTTTTGCCATTAAATTGTATAAACCCTTATTATTGTGGCGAACAATTGACATATGTCCACCAGCGCATGATTATCGGAATCACATTTTCATGTCAAAATATTCTATCCAATAGAATTGAAACTGTTTTCGAGTTAAAAATGAGCATGGGAATCAAACGGAAGTGTTTGTAACCGAGAGATATTCTTGTGATAACATCAGATCGATTTAAAAAAAAATATCGTTGTTTAACGATGTTTTGCATCGATGTTACCACATTCAAATGTTCGACCATCACTGTTGATGTGTTGACGTTTGTGTGCCAGCGTTTGCCTGTTCAGAACATTCAATTGATTTCACAAAAGCCGAAAATTCAGAAAGCCATCAAGTCAAACTAAAACAAAACCGATTATCTGACGTGCATTCGTCGCTCAATTATAGCGTTGTGGTTGATGCTGTTATTGTTGTTTTTGTTTTGTTTTTCGCTCTCTCTCTCTCTATGTTCGTTTTTCAATACAATGCGGGTGTGTTTTGAGTTGCTGGTTAACAATTCGTTATAGTTTACACACACACACACACAATCCAACACTCGCATTTGCCGTAAATTCAAATTGAACGAAAAGTTTCACTTTTTCTATTTGCTCAACCACAAATAATTGTGCCGTTTCAATTTCAATTTGGTTATTGATCATCGAAGTTAATGGAAATAATTGGGGGGGACGACGACTCATGTTGCCGAGACGTATTTAAATGAAGATATACCGCCGATATGATTATCATTGTCACTACACACTTTTGACAATTTAAATTGGGCATGACATTGTTTGAATATCATTTGATCCGTTTATTTGTGGGATTGTGATATGATGCGATCATGATTTCCCAACAACCCATTCTCTGGTGGTTCAATTCCATTTTGACCGGCCCATCATTTCAGATCAATCATTCGGATTGGCATCGTTGAGGGAGCAAGTTGAAAATGCATTCTCACAATCAAAATTCATAGACGATCAGAGATTATGGTGGTTGGCAATCGCAAATCGATCAAATATTCATAACGCCATGCTCTGAATAGAGTGAGAAAAAAAACCCAGATGCGTTTCGAACACTTTTGTGTGTTTCTCTTGCGTTGACCAAATGCCAATTTCATGCACACAATGTGGCAATCCCAAAAATTCAATATTTGAATATTCAACAATGCATCGAATGCTAATAAATGCTATTACTGACGCCTAAGATACTTCGATGCTTTCGATCAATTTTTCAAATTACACATGAAATCGACTTAAATGCAATATTCCGCATGCCGAACAATGCCAACATCGGTCCATACACACATTCATACATACAAACACTTTGGCCAGACGGTCAAATCTCTCTCAATAGCATTTGTTTGGCGAACGACTGGTCAATCGTACGCAATCGCAACACGTCACACGATTATAGATAGATATTGTTGGTTTCTTTTGCATTTGCACGCGAGCGCTCATGGGCACACGCCATTCTCACACACACACACACACACACACACACACACACACACACACACACAC